AAACAAAGTGTGATCTACTCTGCTCTGGCACTGTGGATCTCTAGATTAAACTAAAGGAAGCACTCTCTTCAACTGTGTGGCTCATTTCCAAGTCTTGGCTACCATCCCAATGGATCAATCTCGTTCACAGAGCTATGTATCTGAGAAGAGGTGGGAATCAGGGACTAGGAGAGCTGGTGGGAATATTCTAGTCTATTTCCTTCAGATGAAGAAACCAATGTTTGGAGCTGTTTTAAGATCTGTAACAGTGTCTAGCCAGTGGCAGAAAGGAGAGTAGAACTCAGGTATCCCAACTTTAAGGCAGGTACCAAGTTGCTGACAAAAGCCTTGACTAATCACCGGCTGGCTTCTTCAGTTCTCTCTGGCTTTATCACAGCAGTCTCTGTGCGAAACCACAAGTGACAACAGTCTCAACTCAGCGTTTCGTCCTTCTCTTCCTCTTAAAGTTTAAGCCTTCCTCTTCTCTTCGCACCACTCCAAATCAAGGAAGCTGTCAGAACCTGGGGCTCTGAAGCAAAACGGCTAATGGCTACATGATCCTCAGGTTACAGGATTAGAGGTTTTGGTGGCACTTTCAGTTCAGAGAGGCTGTGTGCCGCCGTGGCTCTACAGCCTCCTCAGTCTAGCCTATAGCTTCTGTGGTGCTCTCTCAGCTCAGATGGCCTACAGAGGGCAAAGCAGCCTCATCCAGAACTCCATGGGCTGCACCAAGCTTGGGCATATTCATGGTCATCAATCACTCACAAATATTTACTGGGAGACAAGCTCATTACTAAGTACTGGTTTGATACAAGGCAGCCCACCCTTCCATCCACCTACACAATATGGGGGCATAACCTTTCATTTGCAGTGCCTGGAGTGAACAGATGGGGTCTGAGTTTGCCTGCACTGGCAGGAAATGGAAATGCGTAGAGCCCCTCTTTTACCTGAGGAGGTAAGGGCAGCCATACTCCGGAGTGCCATCAGACCCTGGCCGGGGCGTCCTCTGACATTCGGCCAGCTCGACGCCAGCTGTGGCAAGGAGAGGAACCATTCACCAGTAAGCCTCTGATTCTCCTCCACAGATCCCTGTCAGGATAGGATTACATTCCCTGGATCTGTAAGATGGTAGGGTCCTGCTTGAAGCTGATGATGTGCAGATAGGGCTTAGCTAAGAAAGCAAAAGGAGCCACTAAAGAGCCCAGAGGAAGCCTAGTATCAGGGTTTGACTCACCTCCACTTCTCTCATTCTTTCTTTTGATTAGTCATTGGGAGTAAAACAAGTTGAAGGATGTATTTTCTCAGCCCCTCCTCTCCCATCCTCTGTTCTGTTTATTTCTCACATACCCTTCACTGAACTTTTTTACAGTCTCCCCCCCCTTTGCTTCTGTCATTTAATTTCTGCAGTGTGGACACAATGAACACTTTTGTTAGTGATGAAAATATTGGGCTCAAGGTGAGAAGACTGGGTTGAAATGCTGGCTCTATTGTTTTGTGGATGTATGACCTTGAGTGTGTTATTTGCCTGCCTGAGCTGAGGACCTCCACCTGTAAAATGGAGGCAACTGTGGCAATTACTTCACTGGATAAACAAAGATTAAACAAGGACACAGACAAATCTCTCTCTCTCTCTCTCCATATAGTGGAGAGCAGCAGTAAACATCCTAGTAAATAACTTTTGAGGTGGATAAGTGAAACCTGAATTTTCATCGAATGTGAGCAAACTGGAGAATTACTTCCATGCCCAAGTTTCTACACATCCGCTACATGCCAGGGTTCAAATCTTGGCTCTTTGCCACTTACTATGTAATTTTAGGCAACATATTAACTATTAAAGTTATTATTTGACTGCAAATGCATGATCAAAAGGTCTTGGTAATCAGTGGGGAATCTAGCTTGCCTACAGTGGAACTTGTTTCCAGGAATTCAAGAATTCCCCGGCATATTTAAGAGCATATTCCCTGCCCAGGTTACTGGGCAGCAGACAATCCCGAGATACGGGTGTTGTACAATGTAGAGAGCTGAAAAATCCATGACCTCCTCATTCTTCGGCATTAGCCCACATGCAGGTGATGGTTTATTTAACAAGCAAGCTTGCCAAGGTGGAGGTGTGGGGCACAAGGGAGGAGAGTCTGGAGGCAGCCCCTGAAAAGAAGCAAATACTAAACCAGTGCCATATTCTAGGGCTTTCCCAGGGCTTAGCCACAGATGGCTCCACCCCCACTAGGCAGAGGAAAGGGCAGTCTTTTTCGGGGGTGGGAAAAGGCTGACCTAGTCCGGTTCTCCTTCACGGGTCTGTCAAATGCCCCAGGGTGTCTCTTCCCCAGAAAGTGGGAGCAGGTTGCTATTTAGTTCTCAGGGAGACTCAGCAACAAAGGGGAGCCAGTGAAGCCCTGGGGCAGAAGGCTTTAAGACCCACCCCACTCCATTCGCCCGGCTTGGGGAGGGGAAAGGGCGACACAGGACTGCTAAAAGAGTGAGAAGTGGTGGCTGAGGCTCCATGAGTGAGCAGGTTCTCCCGTGGTTTCTGGGAGTTCACCTCAATCCTTCCTGCCGGCTGCTGTGCTGTCCCAGGTCGTCATTGCCCAGGCTCCTCACACTTGGTCTTTCCTTCCACCGCTTGCCCTCCCTGCAGCCCTCAGTAAGATAACAATCATTTAAAAGTTAAAGCCGAGGAGGAGTGAGGAAATTTGCAAGGGAGGGGGCAGGACGAAGAGACATCTGTGCAGCAGCATGGGGCGGGCCGCGGAGCCCAGGCTCTCCGTCTTCGGGCTCCAAGCAGCCCCAGCCGCCCCTGCGTCCACCATGCAGCTCCGAACTCTAGTATGCTGCCCGGGCCGTGCGGCCAGGCGCCCCGTCACAGTCGGTGGGGGTGAGGATGACGCGGTCCGGGCGGGAGGCCGGCCAACTGCAGCAGCCCCGCCACGCCACCCGCTTCCCGGCCCCGGAGCCCACAGCGTCTTGGAGCCGGAGGGGGCCCGGGGACGGGGCGGGGCCCGGGCCCCGGTCGCTCCCGCAGCAGCCCCGCCGCTCCAGCCTATCAGCGGCCACCCGGCGGCTCCCTCGGCAGGACCAAAATAGCTGCGAACGCCTGCGACTTGCGCGCGGCCCTTCACTTGACGCTCACTCCGGCTCGCTCGCCCGCTCCGCTACCCTCGTCGAGAGGGGGCGGGGAGGAAGCGCCGGGGAGGGGGGTGGGGGGGGGGGGAGAGAGAGGAAAGAGGAAGGAGGAAGGAGGAAGGGAGGAAGGAAGGGAGGGAGGGAGGAAGGGAGGGAGGAAGGGGGAAGGGAGGGAGGGAGGGAGGAAGGGAGTCGGACGGAGGCGCGGAGCTCGGGGCTGCGCGGCGCGGCGCGGCGCTGGAAGGCGCCGGCGTTAACCCCTCGAGGGCAGGCAGCGGAGGGGGAGCGGTGTTAATACATAAGAGCACCGCATCACGCTAATCTTCTCCCCAGAACAGTATGCGTCAGCAGTACATTCACGTTCTGACTGAAGGACAAAAGGATGAGAGAGCAGTCTGCGTGGCTGCTGCCTGCAACACCGCGAGCCCGGCGCGAGGAGGAGACGGTGGGCGCCGAGCGCAGGGGCCCCGCTGCTGCCGCCGCCGCTGCCGCTAGCAAGGGCGGACCATGTTCTCGGGCTCCGGAGCGTTCCCCGCAGCCGCGACCCCCGCTGCTCACGCCACCGCCGCCAGCGCTCGGGCCGCTGCAGCAGTCCGCGGGCGTTGCAGCCACTGAAGGCACCGCGAGCCAAAGCCCGGAACTCGCTGCCTCCGCACAAAGCCTGAGCCGGCGGCGCGCCGGGGGCCCGGCTGCGGCGGGCGGCGGCGGGCGGTTGCGCGCCAGCGGGGGCTGCGGTCGCGGTCGCCGCCGCCGCCGCC